TCGATCATTTTAACTTGGTGTCCGTCACTTCAACTTGCTTTCCTGTGTGTGCTGCTACGATACGATATTACAGGCTACAACCATCATCTCTGTGAGACTTGTATGAACTGCTCTGCGATCTCCTGCTTTCAGCGGTGCCCTCCGTTGTTGCATTGTCCGATTATTCTGGGGAGTCCTTATCGACTGAAGACTTCTTCAACATATTTGTTCTGCTATATTTGAAGTCAAGATATCATATTCATAGTACCACCTATAGCAGTCTACTACAATTAGTATGGAATGAAATGGTCCAAGAAAGTCAATCGCTACATCGACGTTTACATGTGATTTATCTCTTGTCGATTTGCATTTTCGACCTTTGCAGGGCAATTGGGGCTGTCCAATTTTTCCCACACCTGTAGCAAGATCTGCCCAAACTGTCCTCGAACTTGCCGTGGCCTTTATCTTTTCTTTTCCATGTTGGCTTTTTCTATGTTTTTTCCCACAAATCTGTTCACGGTTACATCTCTTCCTCTGGATGTGCTGTTGAAAATTATAATAGATTTGACCTTGTTTAGACAAATTTTATAAATTTTACACGTTTGTTTTTGAAAACTTTTAAAAACCTTGCTTACACAAGTGTTTATATGATCTCTAAAATGTAGTTTCATTGTATGGTCGTGCTTAACCAAGTCGAAGCCTTGGAATAATCTGCAGAACTTGTTTAAAATTATCACACATATTCACAAGTTGTTGTCGAGAAATTCGTCGGTATTCACTTCAGAGGCACTACGTTACAGCGATGCCACCGATTCAATCCAAGCAAAGAGAACTAGGTAAAGGTCATAATCAATTAGACAAGGACTATCGAAATTACAACAGAGCCTAAAGATGTTAAGCTCCGATCAGCAGGACATTACAGAAAAAAAAACTTGCCAGGAGTTGAATGCAGCTTACATACTTAACGTATTTGTTAAATTTGCATCTGTAACACGCCAATGATATACTGCAAAATAAATCATTCAGAATTATGTGTGCAACTTAAGTGACTTAATATATAGCAGATCCACATATTGTATGTGTTATACCGCAAAGCCAGCTTCAATTTTAGAGATGTTTAAAAAGTCCTGGACAAATATAATAGTTATCTATTGTCATTCAACTAATGATATATATAATAATTTCGACATCGCTTTCTAGATTTTTTGTTTCATCCCAGCCTCTAATTGTGCTGTATATTGTAGTTAGAAAACAAGCTCACTACTGACTTCCTGATACGATTCAAAAAGTGCGTTCCCAATAAGCAAGCAGCATGAAAATTGATTGTTAAATTGTTTTTATTAAAGTTCTATAGATTTGTCATAGTATAGGAATGCACTATATCATTTAGTATTATCTATGCGATGTGAAAACTCTTTACAGCAAGAGGATTATGTTAATTTTACACAGTGACAAGGTATTATTTTTTAAACGTCGATATAAAGAGAATTCGCGTAACCATGTAATCCACCATGATTTATTACACTGGGAAATCGGTCATTAACTTAATCCTAACCAATAACGGCAACCAAGAAAACGATTTATCTGTATGAAAACACGTTATTATGAAACTCGATACAGAGAAAATGCTCTTTACCTGACACATTTCACTGTTGTGTCAATGCGTGTCAAAGCAGATAGCATATGTATTAACCACTTGACACAAAACGCTCATAAATGCTGTGAATCGTACTTCCGAATTCCAATCACGTTCTTTACAGTCATAAATTAGTCATGTGATCAGACTAAACATTACAAGATATATGTGGGCAATTAGTACGGTTTGTCCACGTTCAATTCAGTGTGTTCCGTCTCACCTTTTTGAAGTATAACCATGTATATCTTGAATTGTGTGACATTAGATGCTTTATGGTTGCGTTTCTCCTTGAGAAAAACTCAACAAATTCCGTGATATTCATGTTATAATGGCTGGGATTATTATGGCGTCGTTACAAGGTATTGCGTTCATGGGGATTAATATGTAATATGCATGCTCTGTGATGCGGATCTGTTATGATTGCCTCCCTAGGGGAGAAAAAGTATCCGTAAGACAAATAATAAAAGAAGATAAAGAGGTTTGAAGATTTACAAAAAAATGCTCCATAATGCTAGAGAACGAGAAAAACGTGGTTAAAATGTCTTGCTTATGTGATATTTGCTAAAAAATCACTACAGTCCTTAGACTTCAAACAGAAATATTTTACCTCACACTGAAAAGTACATCACCATTCGGATGAAAGCGAAGAAGAATGTTGTCCCGTGTAACGTCATGGAAGTATGCCGTTTTTTCATTTGCAAAATACAAATCTGGAATCCATATTTTCCCTACCATGAATGATGATGGTGGTATGTGCTGTGACGTCAGGTTAAAAGACAACCGTGGGTCATTCCAACGCATTCGTAATAGTACTGTCATTCCAAAGTCCTGGCAAAAGAAATGCAATTTTAACACCAGCAACAACTAATACTACTAGCGTTTGATTGTTCACCCACCAACAGGGAACGTAAGCTAGGTTTAGACCGTCGTGAGACAGGTTAGTTTTACCCTACTGATAAGTAGGGTAAAACATGGTGGATTTCATGTATTATAATTTATATTTCATGTAAACAAACAATGTATTTTACACGCGTTGTATACGTCGCTATGAGTCCCATATCAGAATGCGGCTCGACGACTACCGCCCTTTAACATGAACGTTCACTGTGATATTTCACGTTGCTAACCTCGCAACTGCGAATGATGCGCGACATGGTCATGTGGCATTTTTCGTTTTTAATGGTCGGTTAACAGATGAAATAATTGAATGATATAACAGTATTGAAACTACTTACCATGGTCATTTCATGAACACTATCAAATCGACTTATGTGAATATCAATATAAATGACTGTCGGTGGACCTGAATAAATCATATCAGTTGAGTTAAAATCCATTCAATTTGCTTTCTCAACCAATCACAACGCTCCATTGCCAGTCTGGTCTATTCACACTAAATCTTCTTTTTTGAATATTGTTTTCGTTCTTTTAAAATGTGAAATGAATTTTTTATACACCTTGTAAAATATCTTATCCGCCTTTGTTCTCTTAAATTTATTTAGGATTTGTGAGATCGTTTGACATAAATAGTGAAATACTGATCAAGTTATATTTTGCGAAGAAGGAACCACAAACCACGTGAGCTAGGAGCTCACATAACGGCGTACGCTGTCCATTTAACTACATTGTACGTAGAAAACGAGGTCGGTCATTAGTTTTTGGACTATATGCAAGTTGGGTTTACGTCATATACGCGCAACATAAAACTTATGTACAGACTCTACAATTATATTGAAGGACATTCTAAAATTCACCCTGTCATAGGGGGAAAATATTGTATTAAATACTGCTACAATCAATCGTAATATTGTGTTGTGTAGTATTGTATGACAATAAATTTGCATCGATTTTGTTCATGGTTAGACTTATCATAGTGACAGGAACCTAAGAAAACATGAAAACAAACTTACCGTCAAAGTTTGGACGTAATCGTCTATCATAGTTGCCCATTAAACTATCGAGAAAAAATGTTGTATTTTTCATATCGTGTGCATCGTGCGAGGTAGTCATTGCTTCATCTGATGAGCTTGATGGTAACCATGGAAACAAAGATACAGAAAAATCAATGAATGTAAGGGGTATCGAGGCAATCTAACCCATTAAATCACGTGACTGTCAGATCTTCAGCACAAGCTAACAAAGTATGCGCGAACAGTTAGCTGGGGCTAAGCACCCACAACTGTACCCATTCAAAATAAGTGTTATTATATTAATAACTATTTAATTCAGTACGTCATTTCCAACAAAGCAATACATGCGAGCACATCCAGTGACACAGTTCTCGAGTGACAACAAACATTACTTCCGATGAGACAAGGTACTACCTGCTAGACTGTAAGCTGTACTTTTTTATGTTCGCATGGCTATGGTTTTATAACCACAGAATTTACAAAAAAAAATGTAGACCTTTGTCGTTTACTTTACTTATTTTCTCATGAATTATTCCCCTGTTTAATTATAATGCTGTGCAGCCAATTAAAGCGCGGTGGTCGTCGCGCAGCGCGTGTTCGGATTTCATGTAAATAAATAATGTATTTTACACGCGTTGTATACGTCGCTATGAGTCCCATATAGAACAGGACGCGGCGCGACGACTACCGCCCTTTAATTTTTTTTTTACTCCGGCGTCTAATGGTATACTGTAAAATTTTCACTGGGTTTAAATTTCACTGTTTGGCATTTCAGGCATATTCAGTGGGTTTTAAATTCACGGTTTTATCATTTAGATAATGTGTTCTATGCTAAATTTCACATATTCACTGGGTTTTAATTTAGCGCATTTTACAATCAGTGAAATAAGCATAAATAAACCTAGTAAATAATTAACCTTTTTACAGTACATGAATATATGTAATACTTCCATATATAGAATTATCTTTTCCACGAATTACACCATGTTTATCTTAACACATGTTTTGAGACAATGCTCTGTTAAATAAATGTGTTCTACATGTATTTATTTATTTACTTTTCAAAATAGCAAATTGTGTTTGCCAGCTGGAAGTTATATAAAGAATGATTTGAATTTGGAGAGCTGACGAAGTTGTCGATGATATTTAGTTATAAAATATGCATTAATTAATATCAACGTAGTCCATCATTTATTGAATAAGACCTTGAGAATTGACAGCAATAATTAAGCTGTCGTAAACTAGCTTTATTGCGTCATTCAAACTGAATGAAGCAGTAAACTTTTAACATTGCGCCAGGGAATTTGACAAAGTCATGGATTACTGAAAACGCGAACAATAGCTCCCAGCAGACAAGTTACAGATTATTTTGATATATTTGCGAATATTACTATTTATCTTGTCACATAAATAAATCCTCCTAACAAGGCTCAGAAAATATAAGGCAACAAACGACAGGTGTCCACCAGGAAAATATTACATTATATGACTGTGACTGCCTTCTGCCTGAGGCGTTAACAAGGAATGAATGCATAGACGGCATTATAACGGATGTCGTTGATGATTCACGAATATGATTAGGATTACAAGCAAAGCTTGTGTCCCTATTGTTATTGTTGTGTCCTTGTTCTTTCTGCAACGGATTTAAGCCATCCAAATATCAGAAACGATTATCAAACAGCTATGA